CAGTAGGCAGCAGAAACTGAATCAGTCTCAGTTTTTGCTTTTAAATACTGCTTTAGCAACTAGTTAGCTATGGATATGGGAGCAAGTTCTGAAGGAGAAGAGACAGAGACCCGTTTCTTAACAGCTGATGATGGATTAATGAACAGAGTATAGGAGACTTCTTTCCTTGTGGTGGCAAAGTGTCTTTTGCATCAAAGCAAAATCCATGTAGAAAAAAGATGTCCACTCATTGCTATCTGTCATTCTGAATTCTTGAAGAAATAGCTTTAATGAATGCTGGAAATTCAAATCTGATAAATGAATATTTTGGTATGGTAATTTTTGGCATAATGTTTGATTGCAGCTCCCAAGTGAATTTGCAGTTTAAATGCTTTACTGCTACTTGAGACTCTCCATAGCATCTCCAGATTTATAATTCTAAATATGAAGTTACTGCTGTAGTGGTATCTATTACTTGTAGCATTTCATTGCTTCAGAGCATACCAGCATGAATTCTTCCAGAATACTGGACTTCTCCAGAATGAGATATCTGTATAGTTTTTTTCTATACTGTCTGTTGAGCTGTATGCAAACTTTTCTTTTTAGGAAACCTCAGTGTTATTCAGAATGAATAGTTCTAATCCTCAGGGAGCTGATTTGCTTGGCTATTTTTTTCTAGGCAATGGAGAAGTTTGTTTTTATATGAAATTGCTTGAGTGTCCTCTCTGTGAAGAAGCCTGAATCTGTTTGAGAGAGGAACCTACTCAGACTCCCTCTGTTGATTGTAAAGAAAATTTTCCATGGGAGTGGAGTTCTTTCATTAAGGTTTTTAAGTGCAAAAGGATAAGCTTTGAGGTTTCATTACTGCTAGAAATTTAGGTGCAGTTTTGTAGAAAGAGGAAATGTTGCTCTATTTTAAGAGCTGCTGCTGAATTCCTTTGCAATTCATCTGTAGCCATGAATGTAAGACTGTGAAATTTTGCATTGCCTGCTGCAGTGGGTATTAGAACAAAATCTACGACTCATTTTACTGCTTTCTTTTGGTTGATGCTTGACATTCTAAGTTTTTATTAATGGTTTCCTTTCTCCTTAGTTAATCCTTCAAAATCATTACTTTTCCCCTATACTCAATTGACTTTGCCTAAGCACATATTGACTAAGAACGCAAATGCTCTTTATTTTTCAATATTCCAGCAGGAATTTCTGTGAAAGTTACAAGACTTAAAATCTTTGTGTGTGAACTGAATATGTCACTGTTGTGAAAAGCATGATCATTCTAGAAACTGGTTGTCAGATCAGTTTCTCCTTTTTGTGTGACCATATCCAGAGGGAAATATTTGCAAATACTGGTTCTGGTAGAACTGTACTTTTGAAAAAGTCTGAATTTTGAAAAGCAGAGTAGCAAGAGATATGACTGTTCTTAATTTTGATTTAGAGAATTAATAAGGAAAACAGTACTACCTTAATGTTAGAGATCTATATTTATATGCTTTCAGTTTGTGTATAACTGGTCTTACAAATCAAAAGCCACAAAATGTTAGAGATTAAATTAACTAAAGTTTCTGATTCTCTGTTTCATAAAGTAATAGCAAATAAAAATAAGTAAGGTTGAATGCAATCTCAGGCTATGTTTGTGTAAATATCTCCTTGTTAGCATCAATGTTTTGGTTTATTTCATCTCAACTATACTGTAATAAAGAATCACCAGATGAGAATGGCATATTTTAATAACTGTAATTTGAATATGGTTAATTTCTATAATTTTCTTCTTTCAGTGGATTTAGTGTATGAAGAATCAAGCCTCTATATTCTTATGTCCCCTTACTTTCCTAACTTGTGTTCATAGATCATATATAAGCTTGAGAAGGAGAGTGTAAACTTTAATCACTCTGATTATATTGAATGAGCAGGAGTAGTGGTATGTACTATAAGATTTAATTACAGCACATCTGTAAACGTAGCATTTAGGACTTTCTCTTCTGGGTTCTTGGATACATAATTAGCAAACATGTATGTCAAGTCTCCCAAATTGCAAACCTCTTATCACAAGTGCAATCTCTTTTGTTATCTAAAATGTAATTAAAATACTGTAGTTTGTCTAGTACTGTTCTAAGTTCTAATCCCCTTAAAGGAAGAGAAAAGTCAGCTTTAGTCATAGTATCTTGCCAAGATTCCTACTCCCTCTTTGCTAATTCACACCCTTTTACCTAACTGGTTTAAATAAATACTTCAACTGATTTCTTTTGTGAAAGTACAACCCTTCAAAATTAGAATGAAAAGTTTAATGGCCTAAATACAGTTCAGTCCTATTAGAAAAGCTTGATTTATCTTCTGTGGTTTCTTTTTTTTTAATACTAGTATTTCCTTGTTATGCCCTTGGTATTTCATAGCTGTCCTTTTTAAGCACTGAAGCAATTATTTTTGAGAAGGCTGATTCTTCAGGGTCCAGTGCTTTCCTGCTTTTCATTCGCCAAAGCTGTACATTTTAATGAAGTTGTTTCATCTGTGTTGCCAAACACTAGAATTTTACTGCTTCAATTCTAATTATCTCTGCTGGTAAATGCTATATTTTATTAAAGCTGTCAAGTGCACTGTTCATTAAATGTCCAGAGTCAGTGGTGCTGTGCACACAAATTAGATCAGCTTTACTCCTTGATAGATTATGAAGTTAAATATTTTTATATAAAACTCTAAAATTGAGTCTAACAGCAATCAGTGATGGCTTAAGTAAGTAAAGCATACCTGTAGCTTCTTGGAACCTAATATCTTGTCAAAACCCATCATGGAACATACCTTAAATCACTAGCAGTACAGCTGAGTATACCATTTGTATGATTATTTAATTCATTAAAATACCATTTTCCTTCCTCAAGATGTCTACATTGCATCTTGAATTCTAATTTGTATGTTTTTAGGGTAAGATAAGTTTTGTTATTTATGCTTTGATATAAGTAGAAAACATCAATGCTGGTCGTTCAGCAGAGGGTTGCAAAGCAATTGATGTCCATTAAAAGCAAAAATGGCTTCATTGAAATGTTACTAACCTGGTGAATGTGAAAGATTGTTATCATAAACAACTAACAGCTTCTCTTCTAACTGCATATTTGAAAGGGGAATTTTACTAGAAGGTGTTTACTTCAAATAGATGAAGCAGTAATAGAAATATTGTATCTGTAAATAAAATATTTGAGTCAGATCTCATTTTGACATCTGGGGATTTTTTTTCTTTTGTTAATTTATGTTTTTAGTGTATGTATCACTATCCTCAGTAGTGGAAATAGTAATTCTTGCTATTTAATGTATTGTTTTCTAGGTGTTCTTTAGGAGAATTAATAAGATATTGTGATGATAGACTACCAAATAAACATACTATCTTTTGAAAATAATGTTTTTCTTATGTTTCAGATATCTGTAGGAAAATAAATTCAAATTTACTTTTAGTAGCTTTATGGTGTCTGTTTCCTGTATTGGTTACCTTACCTTTGAGGAATCTGGTGTTTATACTTTCCAACTTTGCTTTTGAATTTATCAGGCTGTGTTTCAAACCTTCAGAGGAACAGATATTTATTGTGTTCTTTATGGAAATCATAAATAACATCTCAAAATGCTATGTAAAGTAAAGAGAATTTAAGAGCTCTTGGATATATTTTTAAGGCTTGGGTAAGAAACTACAGTCAAAAAACTTCAAAAGGCTGTGAGGCACTCTTCCTTGTCTCTTCTTATGATCTATTTTAGAACACTTTATTGTGAATAGAAAATTCATATAACATGAAGTTGAATAGGAGGCTGTGTATGTTTATGTATTTAATTTCCTGTTAATGTATTATACCTTAATACATATATTAAATGGTATTTGTAGGAAATAATGCATTTTATTTTTTCAGTACAGAAAATATTCCTTTGACTGTATTCAAGAGCTGAAGTGATTTTTGCCATCTGAAATGCTTAACTTCAGACAAGTTTCATCATGTTCAACTTTAAATTTTTTTTCAGTTGTCAGACAGGAGATGGACCCTAATAAATCGTGTATTCTGTGGCAGTGAAGCAGTTGACCAATACCAATATACTGAGAGATTTGGTGGGAAAGGGATGCAGGGAAGTTACTTAAGTCCATGTGAGAAACCTATGATGCATGAAACATGCCAATTTTTTCTTATTTGATATTTTCACTTCACATGTATGTATCTGTTTGGCTTTGAGTCTGAAAATTGGACAAAATATTTCCTGAACCTTCTAGGGAGATTTGAAAATCTCCCTATTTGATCATATTTACATCTAAACTCAGATTTGTCAAGGCTTTTCCTATTTTGGATTCTTGGAAGTTATCTGAGTTATTACTGTCCCTCTTGTGCACATAAATGCATATTGGTTGCATTGCCTTATCCACCCTTTTCAGCCTGAGTGTGCAAGTGTAGTGAATATAACAGAAGAAAATCAATTTCTTTATAAACCTTGGTGCCTTCCTCTTCTCAGTGTAGTCTCAACAATTGTGAAAAATCACTTAAGCAATCTTCAAACATAAGAAAGACATTTAAAAAGTGATGCAATTCAATACAGTCATAGGTCTTTAATGTGTCTGTGAAATTATGAATGTATACAAAGAAAACAAATAGACTAATGGTTGGGTTATCAACCTGAGACTGAAAAGAGTAACAATAATGCCATTAATAAAAGAAATATACAAAGGGAAATATTTCTGGTTCTCAATATATAGTGATGAGGTTGATAAAGTTCTATGACATTTTAAAAAGTCCTAACATTTTAGACCTAGATAAGAATTGGTTTAGTTTAAAAGAACATAGGAGAAGTTTTGGTCTAATGTTGTAGAACAGGGTCCCTGAAACTGATGTTATCTACTAAGATATTTGGCTGGTTTTATGGTATTTTAAATGTTGACTTTTAAGGGATTGAGAAAGTACTGCTTTTGTATTACCACATTTTTTAAGGTAATAGTCTTCTAACCTTGCAAAAGGAATACTAGATTTTTTTTTTTATTTTACTGTTTTATTTTGGTTTTGCAGAGATACCAGGACAGTATACTTGGGAATACAATGCAAACTGTAGTTGCCTTACTGAATAATATTGTTGCTAACAAAAGTATGAACATGATGATACTCTTTCAAGAAGGTATGTCGTCTTTGTCTTTATTTTCCTTTATTCTCAGATGTTTCCCAGTGTGTAGCATCTGGCACTATGTGAAACTAACTCCTATCTATTTAGATTTTGTAGTGGTTGTTAGGTAATTGCATTGTAGCTGATGTCCTCCTCATCACTTCCTCTTCCTTTCTTACTGATTTGATTACAAATTTAACTTTTAGAAAGTTGTTCTTCTAAGGAAATGGGCTTACAAAAGAATTACTAACTGGAAATTACAATATGCTTGTGAAGAATGGCTTGGGAGGCAAGTCATGGACTAGAGTACTGACCATAACAGTGCAGAGTGTAGAGAGACTTCTGCAAATTCTTCCTTTTCTCACTGGTTAAACCTGTCAAAGGATAAGCTGTACAATATTTGTGCACGCTTTTAAGAAATAGCTTCTGTTCCAGTCCAGTGATGTGGACTAATGGGGTGGAACCCAAGCTGATTATAAAGTGTTAGTCTACAAACCATTGCATGTCTTCATGAAATGTTTACCATCTAAGTTGGGTAATAAAACACTGGCACAAGTTGTCTGAGAGTGGTTGGATGCCCTATCCTTGAGAGTGTTCAAGGTCAAGTTGGACAGGGCATGGAGCAACCTAATCGAGCTGAATATGTCCCTGCTCATTACAAGAGGTTTGGACTAGATGACATTTGAAGGTCCTTTCCAACCCATACTGTTCTATGATTCCATGATTCGTTTCACTGTGTTTATTATCTAAGCTCCTTTTATTTAGAAATTGGTTCTGAAGAAAAGAATTGCTATTCTTTATAAACCTTGCTAATTGAATCTGCTATTGGAATTCTATATAAATTACAAACTTATTTAGAGACATACATTTTGATAGCATTTCTTGTGTTTCTCATCAATGGGTGAGTGACATCTAGCAATACAGGTCTTTGCTACCATTTGTACTATTTGTTGGTACACATACCAGCCTATGAATCCATCAAGGTAGGTAGTAGGAATCATGTCCTCAGTTCTGTAATTAGCATAGTAGTTAAAACACTGACCCTGAAAGCAAGAGAGCTGAATTCCTGAACCTTTCTAGTCTTAAGGCATTGAATGGGCAATGCCATTATTCAGGAGACAAACTGGAACTTGACATCATTGCTAAATAATATGTTCCTCTCCTCTGTTGCAAACAGATCTACTCTGAAGTTAGTGGTCTATTAGTAGAGAACAGAGCCAGGAAAAAAAAGAAAAATGGAATAGTATGACTAATTTAGAAAGGGCTGGTTCATAGGGTTCTGATTCTTTGGTTATTTCTCACCAAACTGCCTATCACACTCAGAACTGCTTGGGGTTTCTTGGGTTTTAGATGTATATGCTGCTTTTACTATCTTTAGGTACATCTGCTCTCTGTCAGGCAAAATCCTAAGCTGGCATTGACCCGAGTTGCACCAGGGTAACTTGTTAAAACTGCATAATGCGAAGAAGTTTGTTCAAGTCCCACAAGCACTGTAACCAGATAATTGGCATGCCTTACTTAAAGTAATACACTCTGCCTTTCTGTGTGGCAAATTAGGTGCAAAACTATTTAACAGCATGGCAGAAATGCCCCTATTCCCTAAATATCTCTTCTTTATTGTCCTACAGACCAAACTCCTGTGTGCTTTTTATGCTGCTGATATTATGTCTGTGCTCTTTCACTTCTCATCTGCTCCAAAAATAAAACACATCTCTTCAGCCATGCTAGTTTCCAAATTAAGGAAGCAGAATAGAAATAATATTGAAGTCTTTTTCTTGTATATGTCCTAATGACTCCAGTAATATTTCAGACTAATACTGATTAGATAACACTAACTTGGCCTCACTGAACTTCAGCAACCACACTAGAGAAAGCAGCACAACAGCCAAAAATAATTTATCTCAAGTCAAATGACCCCATCTTCTCTCAATCCCTTTTCCCCACTGGCTAATCTTCAGAGTACTGGAAACCTGGATTTTGGCCAGTGCTTTATTGATTTAGATTAGGCCTAATTGTCAAGTAAAGAACTTCTAAAATTTGGTTTGCCAAGGACGTTATGAGAGTATTGATCTTGTAATGCAGCCTGTTAGATTTTCTTTGAATTAAAAGGGGAGAGAAGTTATTCTGTGCAAACTGGAGGGCTTTATATCCTTTGCATTACCATCTGTAAATATATAGTGTTCACATCAGGAAAATACCTTAAACTTCTGCTACCATTTAACATTTAACTTCTCATTTTTGAATGACTTTGGTGTGATAGAGAAGAATGCAGTCTAGTAAAATGAAAACTGAGCTTCCTCTTGCAGAAAAGTATCCTGGAGTCCAAGGAGAAAAGTTGAACCTGAGTCAGTAGTGTGCATTTGCAGCCATCAAGGCAATAGAGGTTTGAGATGAGAAAAAAACCTGAAAGGTTGAGGAAATTGATTAGACACCACAATGAATGGAGGGGAATAGTTTTGAGCTCCAAACCATAAGAAAGACATTGACAAGCACGAGCAAATCCAGAGAAGGGCAACCAAGATGTTTAGGAGAGTGGACTACATGATGTGTGTGTTTCCAGACTCTGCCTGTACTATTATATGAATGTATTCCTTCCCAAGTGCAGAGCTTTGTATTTGCCTTTGTTAAACTGTAAAAGGTTTCTGACAGCCTTTTTTTTGAGCTCCTCAGCTTCTTGAGTTCTTTCTGAATCCATCAATCCTTCATCACATCAGCTGCTTTCTTCATTTCAATGTCATCTGTAAACTTGCTGAACATGCATGTTAATACATCCTATTAACACTGTGTCTGTGCTGTTAATGAAGGTATTCAACATTCATGAGCTATTCTCCTGTGTTAAAAAAAAAGGCTGAAGACAGACTATTATGGTCAATTTCATAATTTCATCAGTTTCCCTTATTTCCCCTTTACAGTGTGATAATTAATTCATGTATATATGGAGCTTCAGAAATTAAAAAACATAGATAGCTGCTGAACATTAGAAGGAACTCAGGTTAAGTGGTCAGTCCTGTCAAAATTTTTGTATCTAAGAGTCAAGACATTAGCAATGAAGATTTCTTTCTGATTTTGTGCATGCCTTTCTTCAGCTGCCAAGAAGCTGTGTTTTTGCAGACAGATCATTTAGAGATCCACATCACTGTTTCTTTTTCTGCCTGTTAGCCTTCAGAACTCTCACTTGCTCAAAGGAGTTGTATGAGGTGATAGATTTCTTTTTTTAAAGGGCTGTAGTTTACATGTTGAACTTTCCACTTTCACAAGAAAATCTTGCATGATAGCACTTTCTGCATTTCTACTTCTGTGATTTCCTGTTATTAAAAATTATATGGTTGGGTATTTCAGCAACTTTCATAGAAGGTGGATTGCCTGGTATTAATTTCTCTCTTCCCTGAACTGTGTCCTTTTGTGTTAAAATACATCAGACATGTACTGATAACCACTTAAGATTTTAAAGGTGAAATGGAGAATAACGTATGCAACTGAAGTCACAGAGGGAATTCAAAATGGCTTGTACTTCTTATCAGCTATTAAACATTTGTTCTGTTAACATTAATGACAGTTTCTATTTAATAATCAGAGGGGAATAATATGATTCAGTTTAATTACTGAGTCTGGAATTCAATAAGGAGAGTAGGATTAATATAAGGTCCCTTGTGAATAGTTAAGGAAAGATACTAAAAAGCCAAGACAATTGTGGTCATTTTCAGGTAGGTCTTCTAAGAGAGTGACATTTATCCTCTCTTCCTCTGTCTTGGCTTCTGGCTGCCAACCTTTCTTTCTTCCCTTTCCCCATCTTTTGATAGTGGGCAATTTTAAGTTCACTTTTGAGAGAGCACAGAGGTCCAAATATGTATTCAATCTATAATAATCAGTATCTGATGACAGAGACCCAACTTAATGCCATAATTTAGAGAAAGACAAAAGCCTCATCAATTAAATATTCTTCACTAGCGTACAGCAAATAGAATAGTGCTATACATGACGTACAAAATATAGACATGTACTTGTACATTATGTACTGTAAAGATCTATTAATTAGTATGTCTCTGTGGCCTTTTCAGTATTCACTTCCCATTTTCTTTCTAGGATGCCTGCAGTCTCTGTTTTGGGTTTGTAACCACTGAGTTTAATGGTGTGTTGTTCAATGCCTGAGAAGGGTACCTATGAAATGATTCCGTAGGCTCAGTCAGTGCATGGGAGCAGCTCACACTGGAGGGTGTGCTTATAGCTGGGTGACATAGGACAAAGCAGCACCAAGCGTTCAGAAATAGGGGCAGGTAGTCATCAGTGAGGAGGATGGCGACTTAACTGGCATAGAGGTAGGCAGAGATACAGGGTACAGATCTGTATGAAGACAGGTATTTTTAGTTCTACTGGTCATGAAAAAACCAGCCATACATTACTTTGTGTCTGTCATATTACAGGGTTGACATTTGTTGACACTAAAATGAAAACCCTGTTCTAGATACGAAGATTATGAGTTCCTAAGCGGGTGTTGTAGGAGTACAGCGGTTGATCATCTGTGTCTATAGACAGGCACTAGAGCAGTCTACTGAAAAGACCTTTTGTCTCATAGATGTGTGTCTAGTGACAAGAACTGACATACTGACAAATTTATACGTGAGACAAACCACGAAGTCAGGGTTGGCTGCTTGATGAGTGAGTGGTGTAAGTGTGCAAGCTGTTTCGTTATGTGAATGTGATGATTAATAAATAGCCAAGTGCACCACAGCACCTAATGTAGTGAAATTCTTGTACTCAAGTACAATTAACAGATACAGAAACTTTATTTTGCTTTCAGTTCAGTCTCTTTGTTGCTTTTCTTTTTTGCTTGTGATTTTTTTGGGGGTTTTGGTTTATTTTTCACATAGTTTGTACAACTATGTGAAAACCCAGAGAAGGTTGAACCGTTGTCTAGTTAGCAGTGCTTTCCAGCTCTGAGTATGGTTTGTCCATGGGTAATATTCAAAGGCAAGAAATGTCTTCATTCTAACTGTTCCATCATTTTGTTTATAGGA